CAATGAGATGTCTTGTTGACTCGAGGTATTTAAGAGATATAAAAATGTTATTATTAAAATCAAGTAATTAATGTTATGCACCTTATGAATGAATGATTTTCCAAGACTTTATTATCTCAGAAATTGATTAAAGTAATGTATATTATGGGAAGAAATGAAAAAAATAAGGATGAAATTGATCTAAGTCAGATAAAAGATGCAATATATAGTTTTGTAATTGTTCACGTTATTAAACAAAAAAATTCGAATAGCTGCTTAGTTTCTTGTACAGCTGCACCAATTGTACCAGTATTAATCGTACCAAATAAATTATGTTATATACAAATAAATTATGATCGATCAAATTTAATTTCTTCAATGTTAAATAAAATATTAATGCATTCTTTTGTAATCCAAATCTTGCCTTCCATAGAATTCTGCTGATATGGAATTAGCCGATACTACTGTACTTGCAGATATAAAGACGGAACTCCGAATAACCTACAACTATTCGAATAAATGCTTAATATAAAATATACCCACCATCTAAGTGAGAATTAAGTCCACCAGCACGTTACTAATAATTAACAATGTCGCCCGACGGAAGTCATTGAAAGTCACTCAATAATACATACTTCAATAATACATACTATTGAAGTTCTTAGAACATTCTACTAAATCTCATTGGAAATAATTGATCTGCATAGTAATTATTGACAATGTTGTACGCGAAACAGTTTGATAAAATTGAGGTTTAACAAAATGTTAATACGTAGCTAAAATTGTTTATTAAGACGACTACTATTAAAAAAGCGATTCAATGTCTACCATTATAATGCTTCGCAAACTTCGATCATTTATTTGTTATATTCATAAATGTTCGTAATATTATTTTTATTAGACAATTACGCTACAATTTTCTGAATTCATTTATTAAGAAATTATTGCCGACATAAGTGTACATTATTGGACAGATGACAAAAAATTTCCTATTATTTGTCGTACAGTACGTATGTTCAATAATGATTCTAGCAGATAGTTAATATGACCATGAGAAGTTTTTCCTGTGTTATTTTGCAAAACTGATTACGTAATTTCATACAAAAAATATCGTGGCAAAAAAATTCACATGATCATATGAAATGTCGGATAACGGTAGATAGTGTTCCAAATAAAATTTATTTTTATATAAGGGCACGAGATTAATGCATATCTTCCTAGCAGAGCCAACCAAGGGACTCGAGCACGTGAGTGGCTGTGGCGTAAAATACATAAGGGCTAATTAAATCACAATCAAAATTAGCCCTAATGATCTGTACATCCCTAAAAAACCCTAGGTTCAAATTAGAAGGTTATACTTCTTTTAATTTGGCGAATAGATTTACCCGTTATTTTTAGCTTCGTTCCACTTTTTATCCTTCAACGCACAGAATTTACAAGATTTGGTGGCTTGGCAGTTAGTGCATTCCTTCATTTTATATAGATCTTTTATAGGGCAAAACTATATATAAAAGTTGTGGGATTCACTGGGATTCACTCGATATTATTAAAATACTGCTCTAAACCTTCAATTTTACAAAGTGCTACTCTACGTTTCAAAGTAGGGGAAGTAACGTGAGCTTTCCGAAAAAGTACTTTAAAACAATATAAAAAAGTTCTTTATGAATTGTGTAACGGATCTGCAAATGATGTGACGTTTCCCCCTGTTCTTGTTATTTAGATGTCGATCAGTGTTTTGATTTTTTGCATATTACACCTGATCTTCGGTATATTCGCACATATATTTAAAAAAAAACAATCACTTTAATAACAATAAGTTGACCTTTTTCTATTGTGATTTGTTTATCGAAATAATGTACGTTCAAGAAGATACTGAAAATATTTCATATGCAGTAAAAGTGGTCGCATCTTCATTATATAAAAGAGACTGTAGAAAATTACAAAAATGCCGATAAAGATAAAGCCCATCGTACATTTATTAATACTTTAAAAAGTATTAAAGACGATGAATCGTGTGCACCTGCAATACATGATAGGGCTCAAGAACTTTTAGATAATAAAGATGTAAGCATAACAAGAATAGTAAATTTAGATAGATGGGGTTCGCCCAGGTGCTTGTACCTATTGGCCTCGTCCTGATAGGGTGGGAAATTTATCCTTACAAGTTAACTGAAATGGATCGTCTATTGGCTTCGTCCTGATAGATGTCATGGGACAATGATTAGGCTTTTGATAAAGGTCTATTAATCTCAGAGGAGAAATTGATAAAATATTCCTTTATAAAACACAAAAGCTTAATGGTCCCTGCATCCGCCATCTATTTTGATTTTTATTTAATTATGCATCGTGGGAAATAGTACTAATTAACTTTGCTTTATATAGGCCGATACTAGTGTGATCCGATTTTTTACATAATGAAAAATTATATCGTGTGTATTTGATATTACATGATTTTATAAATAATATTCTCTACATTATTTGCTAGATGCAGCGCTGTACAAGATGCTAAAATGCATTTTTTTCAAGCAGAAAAAATTCACCTGGGTGATAAATTATTTTAATAATGAAATTTATTCTTACCAACTAGAGAGTGGAATCGGCGAATAATTATTTGAACATCGATCGAAAATTTCGAACATCAAAATAAATGTCATTCAATGAATTTTAAATTTAGTCAGCATCGAGCATCAGTCAAATTAAAATTTAACTATATACTTTGATAATAAATAATAATTTTCATAAATCTTATTTAATAAATTTGTTCAAATTGAAATTGTAAAAAACTCAATTGGACCCAAGAAGCAAAAGATTACATGTTTTATCAACTGATGAACGAGATCAAGTTGAAAAACTCTACGTGCTATGTATGCAGAATTTAAGGAGCGGCACTATTTATCTAAACAAGTCGGTTCATCGACGTTCAAATTAGTTTCTTAACTAATCAAATGAATGATTTCGAGGAGATCCATGTTGTGATAGTTTTACAAAAATGGCAATTTCGATTCTAAATAAAATGGCTCGAAAATTTCTTGCAATTCCTGCAACAAGCACACCAAGTGAGCGCTTGTTTTCGGATGCAGGAAAT